TAAATGTCACACCTTTCTATTGTTTTTATTACATTTCTTGTTATTAGTAGTGAGGTTATTGGCCATTTGCATTTCTCTTTCTACTGTTTATCTGTTTTTTTTCTATTGAGGTGTTGGATTTTTTAAGGATTTTTTAAATTAATAGGACCTCTTTATATATTATAGGTATTACTCCTCTGTTAGCTACATAAATTGCAAGTATCTTCTCCTAGTCTTTCAAAATTATTTATGGTGGCAATTTTCTTTTAATCATTTTAGTGTTAAAGAAGGCAAGCTGATTTCATGGGAAGTGGAGGCAAGATCATATATTTGAAAGGCTTTTAGGGAAGAGGTCAGTTGAACAGACAGAGAAATTATAAATGCCAAGGAAAAAAACATCTGCAAGCAAGAATTTTCCTACATTGTACTGCCCATTAGTAGCAACTAAAAATTTTTAAAAAGAGTTTTACAGCTCTAATTCAATAACCTGTCCAATGACACTTTATGTTATTATTTTCTTCTGTAGACATTTTCTCTCCACTTCCAGGCTACTCAGCCTAAATAAAAGTCATTTTTTTCTTGCTGGCTGGGTTGGGTTTGGGGTGGTGCCGGGGAAGGGAGCTCCAGCAATCATGAATTAGATTTGATACTCCTTTGGCTCCACCAAAACAGTGGCTGTCCTTTGGGAAGTGCCCTATTTAAACCTTTGAAAATGATTATAAATTCAATAATGCTTGCTATAAATAGCTTAGGGCGGCTATACTTTTTTGCAGTGAAACTATCCAATCCTCAAAGCTTGCTGCATACCCTTTCCATGTATTCAGACCATTAAGATCCAGAATTGTAGTCTGCAGTTGTGATATTCTTCCTGTAGCTCTTAATTTGAACGAGTGGAAAGAGGATCATAGATCCCTTTGAAAATCTGGTGGAAAGTTACGAGTTCTCTCCCCAGAGAAATAAGCACACACACACAAAATATTGCATAAGAGCCACGGCACTCAAGTTCACATGAGGCCATTGGAAAATGCAGGCGTGGTGAACTCGACCAGCTAGTGCTACCTCCACCTTGAGCTTGCTTCACTCACTGTGAGCTGGGGACTCCAAATCGATTTCTAAGTTGTTTTCATGAGGTGGTTTCATCCATGCCAGTTAGAACTAACCCCCGGATTATTTTTGGAAGGGTGAGGATTTCAAAGACATTTGTGAGGTTCCCCTCAATCACAGCCTCCTGGCAATCCTGTGTTCCTCTCAAAATACAGTCAGGCTGTGAAGCAAAACTATGCTTCTGTGAAGCTGGGCTGCCTATTTTTATCCCCCGCATCCTCCGAAATGTGCTGTTGTTACTTCTCTGATTAGTGTTCCAGTCATGCAGGAGACACCCAAGGCTCGGGGATAGAGACCAATCAAGCCTTTGAAAGACAAGCTCAAGTCCTCCAACAGCGGAAACGGTTATACTTTACCATGAACATGAGCAGAATAGCATCTGTTTAGGGAAACAGCAAAATGCTCAAACTCAGAAAAGACACACAATTAAGATCCTTGGGCAAGAAGAGACCACCATCCTTACAATGCCCTTTTTCTTGACTCTTAGGCACCAGAGGCGGGGGGTCTAGCTAGAGAGGCATCAGGGCTGCCATTGCACAGGGCGCGCGGCTGTGCGTTGCATGGACACACAGCCTGGGGGGTGAGTGGGGCTGAAATTCATTTCCAAGGCAGCAATCCCCCCTGAATCTGCCCAGAAGGAGCCCCTTGTTCTGGCTCTCACGAGGCACTAGTGTTTGGCAGTTGGCCCTGAAGACATCTACCATTCTCTAGTCTAACCTGTTTGTACCGAATTAATCTGTCCTTCCTTGCCATCTAATCTGGTTTACAGTCCATGCCATACACCAGATGTTCTTAAACTTTATCGAGCATCAGAATCACCTGGGAGGGCTCACTGAAACAGGCTGCTGGCCTGTACCCTAGTGTATCTGATTGTGTAGGTTGGGGGCGGGGCCTTAAAATCCAAATTTCTAACAAGTGACCAGGTGATGCTGATGTTGCTGGTCCAGGGGCTTCACTCTGAGAGCCAGGCTATAACCTACAGGCAAGAGTTGTTTTTTGTTGGTTTGTTTTTATTTTGGACCTTTTCCATGTTTACTAATGACAGCGTCACTGAGCCAGTGCAGACTAAAGAAAAATAAGCAACTTCAGGTATCCACGGCTGAAGGGTCATCCTGGTAGACACCTGGCTTCTGTAACAGTGACTCACACCCATTCACCTGAAAGGCCCATATTCCCTAGCATTACCTTGGATAAGGGGCTGAGAAGACACTGCGGGCAGGACCATTTCCATTCATTTGGCCTGAGTGTCTGCATCCGTGTAATGAAGGAGCCACTGTGTTGCTGGCAAGTGGCTCAGCTGGGAGATGATGCCAGCAGTAATTTACATGAAATGGATGGGGTGGTTCTCAGACCCCTTGCTGAGTGAAAACGCTGCTTGTTTTGGTTGGGCTGAGGACTGTGTACATAGGGGGCAGAGACCTTCTCTGGGGAGCCCAAGGAGCCCTGATGGTCTATGTCCACCAAACCACACGCTGTTTTTATGTACTCAGATATAGAACAGGCTTTTAGTCAATAGATTCCTTGAGTTCTGTCTCCACCTAAGCTATCTAAAGTATTGGGTTGGCCAAAACATTCATTTGTTTTTTCTGTAAGATGGCTCTAGTAGTGCTTAGTTGTCTTTAACTTCGTTCAAAACAATTGTGTTAGATTGTATTGTGGCAGCTGTCATATCAGCATGCATTAAAAAAAAAACTTACCAAGATTGGTGAATTTTTGTGCAGCCATTTTAATATTGAAGATGGAAGAAAATACACATTTTTGGCATATTATGCTTGATTATTTCAAGAAAGGTAAAAACACAACTGAAATGCAAAAAAAAGATTTGTGCAGTGTATGGAGAAGGTGCTGTGGCCAATCAAATGTGTCAAAAGTGGTTTGTGAAGCTTTGTGCTGGATATTTCTTGCTGGACGATGCTCCACAGTATGGTAAACCAACTGAAGTTGATAGTGATCAAACTGAGACATTGATTGACAAAAATGAATGTTATACCATGTGGGAGATAGCTGATGTACTCAAAATATCAAAATCAATAAAGGTATTGGTAAAAATGAAAAATGTGTCTTATATTTTACAAAAAAAACCATATGAACTTTTTGGCCAACCCAGTAAATAAAATAGGTAGGTGTTCTCTGTGAGGTCTCTAAGACCAGAGACCTCCTGTTTCCTTTGATGCTTTATTCTAGCTTTGGGCCCCTGTAATAGTTTTGACATTTTTCTTTTTTGTGGACTGAAAGTGTTTAAGTCTCTTCCTTATTCCAGGCTTGGCTTGCTGAGTCGGTCCCCACCCTTCATACTCCAGCAATTCACTTACTAGAGACCCACCCACAACTTTTTCTCTTTCTAGATCCTGTCTGTACTCAAATCGTTCTTCCCGATTGACAGGCTGTTAGTGACTTTCCTCTTAATTGTGACCCAGCTACCCTGTGTGATACTGTTTTATCAAAAGTCTGTTTTGGCATTCTGGCACTAGAGAGGTCTACAAATTGCCCCGTGTCTTCCCGGCCCTCAAAGTGGCAGATATTTGGCCCTTCAGGTCCCTCTTCACTAGCCAAACCACTATTCCTTTGCAGCCTATTATTCTTTGACTATCTTTTTGCTATTTTCTAAATGTTGGTGGTAAGGAAACCAGGACAAACCAATTCTTAATCTATTTTGTGGTCTGTGCTTCCTCTAAAAATTTGTATAAAGCTCCCCAGAAAAAAAAAAAAAAACAACAAACAACCAGAAAGATTGGTTTAATGGTTGGGGAAGTAATCAAAGGAGACTCTCCCTCCCCCTGCCTCGCAAAGCACAACCACAGACAGGTCTCAGGGAGGCAGCGTGGCCATGTGATGAGGCAGTGCCCCTTGCGGCATGTGACCAACATCGTGGGCCTGTGTGTTGAGACCATGGTGATCTTTCAAAAGAATCTGTTCCAAGAAGACCCACTTGTTCTTCAGAAGATGCAGATCTGGGAAAAATTGCAAAATATAAAAAGCGTATGGCCTACAGAACAGTGTTTCTAAAAACTGTGGCTCAGAAATAGCTAACAACATTACTAACAACCACTTACTGTCTTTGTCCATTCAGTCCAACCTATCTCTTCACTTTTAATTCGATACCTTCTGTTCAGAAGAGGAAGGGAACTGGTGAACCAATGACAGAAAAGCACCCAAATGCAATTGAGGTTACACTCAGAACAAATTCAGTGTGACTTAAAATAAGGCCAAGGAGAAGGGCATTTCACTAGATAGTCAGCTCCAACCCAAGTTGCCAATTAGGTATGTTTGTTTCTATTTATAGTCAAGGACACTAGCATCTGAGGACTGATCCTGGGAATGTAGATTCACATAGATAAAGCGATAGTGCTGAATATCTGGGAAGGGTGGTCCATCCATCATGGGATGAGACAAACGCTTTCATTTACTAGAAATGTGCAGAAATTGTTTAACTCTTCCCAAGTCATGTAAAAAGATAAAAAAAAAAAAAAAGGCCAAAACAATAGTGTCAAGATTAAGGGGCACCTATGCCTCTGCCCTTGAATTCTTACAGATTCCTCTTTGTTTTGGGTGAGGGAGTGTTTCAAGTGATCTCTGAATCAAAGGATGGCTTTTATTTGATATGACGGCTTGAGACAGCTTTCATCTTGAAGTATATTACAAATTAGGATGAGACTGAAACCCATTCAGAGATTTATGGAGTCTTGTATGCAAGTCAAGAGTGCAAGCATCAAACATACCGAGGGCCTGCTCAGTCAATAGCTATTAGCTATTTTTCTTCATTATGTTCCACTAACAGTGCTATTTCTGATGCAGGAAGCAGTAGCCCTGCCTTTGTTGTTGTCTTCCCAGGTAGTGTAGGAAGCTAGGTGGACTGAAATCCCAAGTCAACCTGTTATGAAATTGTTCTCCGAGTTATCCCAGGGAAGTTGACTTACCATACCACTCATCGACCCATGCGAAAGCCTGCCTATGTCCAATCAGCAGAATATCTCGGACCACCTACAAAAGGAAGAGAAGGAGGTTGAAATAGTACCATTTTGATTAAAACTATATGGAAAATAGATCGTTCCCAATCTAGGAATCCTGGCAATGATAAATCTCTCCGTCCCTCTGTCCCTATGTGATGACAATAACACAGACATTGTACTTGCTCACCCTCAGTCCTTTACATGGCGTGCATGTCCTTGGTGTAAATTAATGTCCATCTGACTTGAAAGTTGGGCTGGAGGTGTATACAAACCAATGACAACGACTTGGCAGTCACAACAGTGTTCGGAATGACTTTCCAGGCTAATCACCTCGAGATTTTTCTTTTTGTTTATCTTTGTCTGAAACAAGTTCTACTTTTCATTTGTAGAAGGGCATGTCTCACTGGTGCGAAGGGGTCATACGTGTTAGAAATCAGGAATTTTTTCTGGGCAGCAAGTCACTTCTAGGTAAAGAGCACTTAACACTTTCTTCTCTGATGAAATATCTTAAATATTGGTTAATTTTCTTTAAATAATTGCAGGTGTGGGATACAAGATGAGTATATCTTTCTAGGCTTGACTGTCATGAAACAAGGGGTAAAAAAGAGCAAGTGTAGTCAACTATTACTGACAGAGACGACAGAAGAGACCAAACCAGAACTGAACACAGTGGCAGTGAAAGCTTGGGTGGAGACAAAAGGAACGAAACTATTTCTGTTGGTGACACATGACAATAGTGGACAAAGAAAAGATGTATAGATATAGTTTATGTGCGTGTGTAACCCTGTTCGTGTGCTTTTATTTCATGGTACTCTTTTTTTTTGGTCCTCCATAAATATGCCTTTTTACGTTTCTTGGATACTCACACTCTCCCTCCAACATTCCTTTCTTCTCACGAAACAAACCTACCGATTGTCAAAAATCTCCCGTGCAAGGTTCAAGCATGTATAAATACATGAGGGATTTTATTTTGGTGAATTTGCAGAAACCATGGACGCATTTATAGCAAAGTGTTTACTAGCCCAGGACTCTGGATATCTAGTGAGGCTTATGGAGGAAACATATCGTGAAAATAAGAAACAACATGAAGCCAGACGTACTTGAGTGCTGAGTGTGTCAAATTCATGGAAATCAAAAGAGCAGCATTGAGGCACCAGTAAATATACTCTATTGCATTAAGCACAACACAGCTGTCTGCTTGGAAACAAGAATTCAATAATGTGCTAATGGCTCACTTTCGAACATTTTTTCCTCCTTAACTGTGAAAAGATTCTTAAAAAACAAAGGTGTTCAGAGAAAGGCACCCATGCAAATGCTAGAAACTCATTAACAACTCATGGGCCAGAGCAGGTGTGCTCTGGGGGCGTTGATAACACTTCATTATATTTGGAAAGGGACAGTGGGAAGGTCTATGACTAGAGCACAATTATTACAGGTACTTTCGAGAGAGTCACAAAGCTAGCTAAAGCCATCCCTGAGAAAGAAACACATGCGCCCCATGGCAATCTAAATAGGCGTGGAGAGAGGAGGAAATAATAAAATGCACCATGGTAGTGGCCCTAGTAAGACACCATTTGGGGTTAAAAAAAAAGGGGGTGAGGAATGTAGAAAGTCAAGGAAGGGACAGCCTGACACAGACACCGAGCTGAGGCCGGAAAATATTTACTCTGGAGCCTTGACTGTGTTCCTGCTAAATAATTGGACACAGCAGGACAACAGGGGCCCCCGGAACTGGATTTCTTTGTGTCTCCCTTGGCTCCCACCTCTGGGCAGGCAGCACGGGCTCTGGGGCTCAGCAGAAGACTGGCATCCTTCCCTGCCTGAAACCTGTTCCAGGTCTGCTATGATGATGAGTCCAAGGTCGGTCTATTTCTTGGGCCTCAATTCAAGATTCACACATTTTATTGTCAACTGGCAGCCCTATTTATTGTTAGTTGCCACCCCTCTCCGTAGACAAATCCATCTAAGTAACAAAAAGCTCAGCACATTAAGGCTAAATTCCAATGCCTCCAAAAGAATTTCAGAAAGCTATTTTTTTAAATCAGTTTTTAGGTGGAAAAATAAACATATCTAGCCTATGTGGAATGCAGAGACAACTTGGGTAGTATTTATTTTTATGGAAAGGGAAGAAGTTACAAAGGGCAGAACTCAACACTGCATTTTTTCCCCCATGAGGTCAGAGGTCATGTTAGAAGCCCCTAACAAAGTTAAATAATTACCAAGTGAATTCCCGTTACAAAATTAACGTGTTAGCCAAAGTGGTTATAGAACTGAAATCTGTGTTTTGAGACTGTTAACAATTCTTTGGTGACAGAATTTTTGTATGAGCATAAATTCTCCAGCGAAGTGCCTAATGGGACTGCTGGGATTTCGTATTCTGCTTCTTGGGGCACCTTCTACCTTAGGGGTCTATATCTGCAGGATCTTTTGAGTGAGAATTATCCCTGCATATTGCACACAGATGAACCCCAGGCCTCTGCCTGGAACCCAAGTACACCTACCCATGCCTGGAGCTAGATTAGCCCAATGCCAAAGGGACAAGTATGGTTTTTTTTAAATTTTATTTTTCAATTACAGTTTGCATTCAACATTATTTTGTACTACTTTCACAGCATAATGGTTAGAAAATCATACTTCACAAAGTTTCCCCTGATATTTCCAGTACTCACCTGGCACTGTACATAATTAGTACAATATTGATGACTATTCCCTATGGTGTACTTTACATCCCCTCACTATTTTGTAACTACCAATTTGTACCTCTTAATCCCTTTCACTAAACCCCTTAAGCCCCCCTCCTCTGACAACCATCAGTCTGGTCTTTGTGTCTATAAATCTGTTTCTATTTTGTTTGTTCATTTTGTTTTTGTTTTTAAATATTTATTTTATTGATTATGCTATTACAGTTGTCCCACTTTTTTCCTCCCTTTACTCCCCTCTACCCTGCAACCCCCTCCCACCAGCGTTCCCCTCCTTAGTTCATGTCCACGGGTTGTTCATATAAGTTCTTTGGCTTCTCCATTTCCTATAGTATTCTTAACTTCCTCCTGTCTATTTTATACCTATTATTTATGCTGCTTATTCCCTGTACCTTTCCCTCCATTCTCCTCTTCCCCTTCCCTTCTAATCTCCATTTCTGTGATTCTGTTCATGTTCTAGGTGTTTGTTTAGTTTGTTTTGTTTTTGTTTTCTTTTAGGTTCAGTTGTTGATAGTTGTGAGTTTGTTGTCATTTTACTATTCATAGTTTTTGATCTTCCTCTTTTTCTTTGATAAATCCCTTTAACATTTCATATAATTAGGGCTCGGTGATGATGAACACCTTTAACTTGACCTTATGTGGGAAGCACTTTATCTGCCCTTCCATTCTAAATGATAGCTTTGCTGGATAGAGTAATCTTGGATGTAGGTCCTTGCCTTTCATGACTTTGAATACTCCTTTCCAGCCCCCTCTTGCCTGTAAGGTTTCTTTTAAGAAATCAGCTCATAGTCTTATAAGAACTCCTTTGTAGGTAACTCTTTCCTTTCTCTTACTGCTTTTAAGAGTCTCTCATCTTTAATCTTGGGTAATGTAATTATGACGTGCCTTGGTGTGTACTTTCTTGGCTCCAATTTCTTTGGGGCTCTCTGAGCTTCCTGGACTTCCTGAAAGTCTATTTCCTTCGCCAGATTGGGGAAGTTTTCCTTCATTATTTTTTCAACTAAGTTTTCAATTTTTGAGCTTCGATCTGTCCTTTCATTTGGGCCATATTTGTTTGTCTCAGTGTGCCTGTTACGTTGGAAGGGGCGGAGACTCAGGTATTCCCCAGGTCGCTGTGTTGTGATGCCGTATGTCAGGGAGGGGTCCAAGAAGGAACAATGCTGCTTGCTCGGCTCACAGCAGACTTTCAGTCAGTTCCTCCGCTACCCACAAGCAAATTGGGCCCTTCTAGTGCTGATTCCCAGCGGGTTTGTGTACTTTCTAGGATCTTGTGGGTCTCTCCATTGGACTTTCCTGTGAGGCTGCGAGTTTCTCCTGCTCCCACAACCCCCAGATTTTTACAACCAGAGGTTTTGAGGCTTTCTTTTCCTGCACTGGAACCCTGGGTTGCATGGTATGTCTTGCTCCCCAGCTGTTCCTCCTGGTTTATCCACATGCAAATGAGGGGCTGCCGGCCTCCGCCTTGCCATGTGTCCTCTTCACCCTGGCTGCCTGCCTACCAGTCTGGATGAATGTTTCTTCTTTAACTCCTTGGTTGTCGGGCTTCCATACAGCTCAATTTTCTGGCAGTTCTGGTTATTTTGTTTTTCAATTTGTTGTTGTCCTTCTTTTGGTTGTGCGAGGAGACAAAGTGTATCTACCTATGCCTCCATCTTGGCTGGAAGTCCTAATTTTGTTCTTTAGATTCCACATATAATTGAAATCATATTTGTCTTTCTCTGTCTGGATTATTTCACTTACTGTAATGTTGTCTAGGTCCATGCACGCTGTTGCAAATGGTAAGATTTCATTCTGTTTTATGGCTGAGTAATAATATTCCATTGTTTATATATACCACAACTTTTTATCCGCTTGCCTGTTGATGGGCACTGGGGTTGCTTCCATGTGGGAGAAGTATGTTTTGGACACCCAGCTTCCCAAATACACTCACCCGACAGACATGGAGGTCAGAGGAGGAGGTGAAGTGTAACACATCTATCAGTGGAAGGAAATTAAGTCTGTATGTAAAATGTACTGGCATGAAAACAGGGTTGTCTGGATGTAGTTATGTTGGGTTGGCTCAGCATGTGTATGTCTGCCGAACATCATTTACTCTCGCTTACCATACAGGTGGTTACTCTGCCCGCAGCCCCGGAGTCACTGTTTGCTCACTTACCTTGTGTACAAATTGTTCCACTCTGGTCTGAAGCCCCCACACCTCGAACTTCACGGTCACCAGCTTGTAGGAGCACATAATAGGCTGATGATTGTCTCTCCAGCCTTCCCTTAAATGTCCACGCCCTGTCTTCTCTGACTTGAAGTGTTTAGGATCCTGGAAAAAATATACCAAAGAAATGGTAACTTAAAAGTTCAACCACCATTGATATGACATAAGAGAAGTAAATAAGTAAAGCTAAGTGAAAAAAGCCATTCACCAAAGGCGACATTGTATAATTCCGTTTATATGAAATACCCAGAACAGGCAAATCCATGGAGAAAGATAGTGGCCTAAGACTATGGGGTGGAGATGGTATAGGGAATGACTGCTATGGGAACAAAGTTCCTTTTGGGGGTGATAAAAATGTTTTAAAATCAGATTTAAGGTAAGTGCACAAAGCCCTATAAGTGTGCTACCACCCATTGAACTGGGTATCACCCTTTAAAATGGGTGAACTCTGTGGCATGTAAATCATGTATCAACAAAACTGTGAAAGAGACATAAATGCAACAAAAAATGCTACATGCCACCTCAGGGGGATTTTTCAGTGTGTGCTTTGGCTCTGGGTTTGCCACATAAAGTAGTACCATAATAGCCATTATCCTAAGCACATGTTTACTGAATGTATACTGTGGGCCCCGCACAGATCCGGGAATTACAGTATGCTCTCCCTCGACCTGATTTCTTTGTCCTGAAGGGTATGAAAGGGCCTCAGCCGTGGGTGTGGTCTGTGTGTGGCTGCACAGAACTTTCCTCCACACAGAGAACCAACTCAACTCTACTTGGATAGTCTCTTTTTTAAAAACATTATATTTTATTGATTATGCTATTATAGTTGGATGATGTCTGTTCCCTGACCTTCCCTCAGAGTCCCTCCTAATTTGCATCAATTGCAGGAAGGCCTGGAGTTTGATAGGGACCAGAGTGGGACAAATACATAATTAATGGAATACAAAATCGACAAGAGCTTCTAGAAGCGGGGGAAAGCAAACAAGATGCATAGTAAGTATCACAATGGAGTGCTTCTGCGAAGGGAAGGGCTGTTGATCTTGAGTGTGGGTGGCATTTTTTGGTACCAAATTTGCCATGTTGTCTTTTTATCACCTGAACCAACTCAGAAACCACCACTGAAATTATATGCACAGGCCTGGAAAGATTATGGTAATTTCATTACATGATACATGAAGAAGGCATAAACATAGGGTCTGGCCCTTAGCAAGTACCCCATCATCGTAAACCATAACTGCACTTCCCAAGACAGTCATTGAAAACTTTGAGTAACGTGTCCAATCCTACAGTCCAAAGTGCCCTACAGTTTGTAGTAAAAGATTTGATGTTTAAGGCCAGAGGCGTAATTCCTGCCTGCCCTGTGTTTCTATAACACCATTAAGAATAAAAAAAGACTGGTAAGTCAAGGGACATATCACCAATGATATGGTAGATAGTCTCCAAAGATGGTCACTACCAACTCCCGCCCTCGCTGTGCCCGTGTGCTGCTCCTCTCACCAACGGGTGGAGGCCATTGGTCCTCCTCCTGAATCTGGACTGGCCTTTGACTTGCTTTGACCAATGCAATGTGGCAGAAGAGACACTGTTGTCAGTTCAGGTCCCACTAACGTATGTTCCAGACTTCCTAAGGATAAAGCAAGACTCTGCAGTACCAAACAGAACACTGGCGAGTTGCATTTCCAAGGCAGCTAAGAATTGTGGGGCTTCAAAGCAGATTTCAGTTCTGAATAAGACCGAAAAGGTACTGTCTGCACAGTGAAAATTATGTAGATGCTTAAATCTGTGTGGTTCCCGACCCCACCATGAAATTATAAAATCATATTATGCTCTGGCAAAAGAAGGTTTTAGGGAAAGGCTACCTGGAAATGAGAAGTGCACCATGTTTTCAAGATACAGAATAGGATTTTTAAGATCGACATGAAAATTTGGTTTCATGTCCTCAATTTTATGGATAAGGGCACTGAAGCCCGAAGAGAAATGAAATATTTTACCCCAAACCTCAGGCGCTTGGTAACAGGCTGGGGACTAGAATTCCAGCCTCCCTTGATTCTAGCCCAATGTTCTTTCCACTACATTTACTTTTAATATGAAACAGGGAGAGGGTGTTTTTCGTTATAGCCAGATGCCAAAGAAGCAATGAACAATTGGGCTTTTTATGGCAACAGTATGCTGATTCTTTGCAAGTCTGGTGTCATATCTATAGCAGCTGATTTCATCTAGGAAATCTAAAATGTGGCCTATAATTAAGGATTCGCTTTCAAAGAGCCGGAGGGAGGTAAGGGAGATGGATTTACTAGAGGACTCCTTTAATCAAAATCCAAGATCGGAAATGAACTTCCAACTAAATGCCTTTGAATGAAGATGAGGAAAGAAAAAAATCTAACCTTCGGGTCTTATCTCAAAATATTCTGGTCGCAAACTTTTCTCCTTTTTCCCATTCGGACCCCGTCTCCCCACCCCCACCCCCACCCCACCCCCACCCCTCTTGAAATCATTTTCAATTCTCATTCTCACTTGAGTTTGTGAACATAAATATCTAAATTGTCCATTTACATGTCAGTTGACCTTTCTTATAACCTTTTGCTTTTTTTTAATTTTTAAAATATCTGGTTTGTGTTTCTGCAGCTACTACAATATTTTGGTCCTGATTTAAACTCTGTTATATCACTTCTATTGTTCTTTATAGAAGAACTGGGCTGTTTTACATTTTAATCTTTCATTTCCAAGTTTCTTTATTTTAAAATGAGGTTTATAAGCCTCTACCTTTATCTCTGATGCCAAAAATCCCTGGATCTTCCCACATTTTGGTTTCAGGGTTTGGCCTATTTTAAAAGAACACAAAGTTTGACTTGAGTGTGATTGACAGATTATACATCTTGATTCTTAGGCTGGTGCTCAACCCACTGAGCCACACCAGCCAGGGTGGATTATACATCCTGAAACTCCTGGATCCCAACCCAGTATAATCAGAAAATACAGTGAAAGTTCTCTGTGGTGGGTCGCCTGGTGACTCCCAAAAGGTATGTCCTAGTCTTCATTGCCAGGACCTCAGATGTGCTCTCACCTGGGAAAAAAGGCCTTTGCAGATATAATGAAGCTAAGGACCTCAGAATGAGATCACCCTAGATTAAGAGGGTTGGCCCTAAATCCAATGACAAGTGTCCTTCTCAGAAATGGAGAAGACACAGAGAAGAGGTCATAAGAAGCAAAGAATGAAGGTACACAGCCTCAAACCCAGGAACTCCTGGAGCCACCAGGAGAGGCAGAAAATAATCCTCTTGATTTAGGGCTTCTGGCCACCAGGACCATGAGAGAAACCCCTGGGGATGGGGATCAAGGTGGACCCCCCACTGCCATGCTTCCAATGTAATTGGCCTTGGTGCGGTCTGGCCATCCGACTTTCCAAAAGCTCCCCATGTGATCTGCGTGTACAGCTAAGGTTAAGCCACTGCTATGAGGTGTGGTATCACCCCCGCGTTGCAGATGAGAAACGCAAACCTCAGCTGATCTCTGACTCGCCCACAGTCCTCCGGTCTTTAAGCTCAGTGCTGCCTGACTCCCAGACCTGGGCTCCCAAACCTTACACGCCGTGGACAGGACGGTCCCGTTTGAAATTCTGGTGTGATGTTTCAGAGGAGTAGGCCTCCTCATGCACCGGACGGTGTTCATGCTAACCCCCTTGTGGGGTTGTTGCAAGGCTTCAGTTGGATAATGCAGGCAAAGTCTCCAGTCCAACACCCGATAGGTGGTATGTGATAACCCAGGAGACATCCCAGAGAGATAAGAAGCGAGAGATAAGAAGCGTGTGATACAGAAACATCCTTTAGAGATACTGTAAAGTAATTTCCTCTGATCTCATTAAGCTCCTCAAACGAAGGCAGCAGGAATATCCGAAGTGCTGTCGGATGATTATTACTTTGTGGTTATCCTGTGGTCGAGTGCACAGAAAAATGCTGATAAGTACCAATGAAAATATGACTGCCGACCATCATGCAGGCGTCTTTGTGCCAGGGAAGGGCTGGTGGGTGCTTCCGTTTTCCGGAAGCTGTCACTTGTCAGTGTCCATAAGAACGGTGGTGAGAGAAATCCCAAGAGAAGGGTTTTTGCTTTTTGTACATTATAACTAGGTCCTGGGCCAAGGACAAGGGAGCATCTCCAGTCTCAGAACAAATTCCTTTCCCTCTTTGTCTTATGTTTCAGTGGCAGGTTCCACGATGATGGAGCAGAGAACAAAGACATTGCCCTACTGTAGGCTGCTCCTTTAGAAAGTAGTTTTACTGATTCCACTGGGGCTCTGGAACCACAAGGCGGCACCCGCAGGAGCCACCTGGGAGCTTCCCCAGTGGGTGAACACCCTGGGCAGCTATCTCCAAGCAGCACAGCACAGTGGGTCAGACTAGCTTTGAGCACATTAGGGGTTTCTTAAAAGCTTTCCTTTTGAAGAGTTGAGAGCTACACACAGACGAGTACAATCCTCTTCTTCCGCCAACCTTCCATGCTGGGGTGCGGCTCTTTCCTCTAATGGGGAACAATATTAGACTGCTAGGCCTGCAGTCACAAAGTGCGACAAACTGGGTGTCCTCAACAGAAATTTATTGTCTCACCGGTCTGGAGGCTGGAGGCCTGAGATCCAGATGTGGCCAGGGCTGGTTCCCTCTGAGGGCTATAAATAATTTGTTCCATGCCTCTCTGCTAGCTTCTGGGGGTTTGGTTTGGCGGCAGTTTTGGTATTCCTTGGCTTACAGAGGCACACCCCGGTCACATGGCCCTCTCCCTGCATGTCTTCACGTCATCTTCCCTCTGTGCATGTCAATCTCTGTGTCTCAATTTCTTCCTTTTACAAGGACACCAGGCATACAGAATAAGGGCCCTCTCAACCTTGCTTTAACTTGATCACCTCTGTGAGGACCTAATTTCCAAATAAAGTCATGCCCTCAGGTACTAGGGGTAGGACTTGGACACAGCTCACTTGCTCTGTCATGTAGCACTGAACCTCACACTACCCAGCTGCAGCTGGGTCCACGGGGTGATGGTTAATTCTCTAAAAGGAATGCTTGGGCCTGAGGGCTCTGCCCAGCAGCTGGCTGGCTGGGACTGTGTCAGGC